TTTTTTTCCAAGTGTCGTAATACAATGTTCAGATTTAAACATTGAAATGCAATTAGAAATTGATTTTATTGTGTAATTGAAATCATTGGTGCTTCTTATCAATCGTTTAGCAAAATTTCATAAGCGATTGGAATCCCTTAAAAGATTTGTATCTTATTTTAAACCAAATAATAAGCAATTGGTATCATTTAAAGGTTTTTATTATGTCTCGTTACAAATCATTAATAACTGCAATCCCTCAAAGAGTTTTTGTTTTATTATTAAAAAATTAAATTAAAACGTAAGACTCTTCAACTAGATATTAGGTTCCAAAAGGACAAAGTTATACGCATCTTTATTTATAATACCTGCTTTTAATTTTGATAAGTGCAGATCATTTTTTTTATGTCCCTTTTAGCTAAAATAAAAATAAACTAAGCCAACATAATAAAAAATAAGATTTTTAATTTAGTGGTGATCTTTCTGTGAAAAAAAAATCGCAAGTTTTATCTAAACAAGCATTATCGTAACGTATGTAATTCATTATATACTTTAAATCTTTATACATTTTTCTTTTCTATTTTTTTTATCTTTTACGTTTAAATGTAAAATAGTTTGTTTCTAACCTAATAGCTTTTAAAATATTATTGTCGGTCAAAGAAATTTTAATTACCGTTGTACCGGTCGATATATATATATACATATTATAAGTTCAATAACCAATTAAATATTTGTTAAACGTTTCAATCAACGTTTATATCAACGTTTTAGTTAATCTATTTGTGTTACAATTAAGTGATGTTTGCTTTACTAATTTTAAATGCATTTTACGACGTAATTATCTCTTTATTTTTATTTTATTTTAAATTTGTTTAAAAACTGTCTGCCTTTCAAAAATTACTTCATTTTAGTTCTTGACCTCATACATGAATTCATCAGCTCATACATATTAATTCATTAAATATTGAATTTATGTAGAAAAAAAGATTTTTGAAATATTTTATTAAAAATGTGTCTCTATATTTGTAAAACAATCAAATTAATAGAATTTTCTTGGATAGTATGTGCCTAAAATAATTCCATAATAACTATGGGGGAGCTTAACATTTCACATAGCATCCTCTGTATAAAGCATCCTCCTAAAAATTTACAGTACAGACGAAGCGATCGGTATTCAAAAATAAAAAACCATTAAACACGACTCTTTAAGTAGCAGTGCGCTAGTAACAACCAATAAGATTTTATAGAAGGCAGTGACCTACTACAATTTTGTTCAGAATTTAAAAAAATAATTCTGTTTCAATGAGCGTTGTAATTAAAGTTGCAATACGAGTGATTGCTGTCGCTGAATTGATTAAAGTGTCAGTAATGGATTAAATGGTATTCTTTATGTTTTCCCCTTATCTCAAAATAAAGTACAAATTTTATTGTTTTTTTTCCATCAATCCCCCCCCCTTTCCATTCTTACATATTACCGATATGTCTCTGTAAACAATTTAAATAAAAATGTGAAAATCAAACAAATTTTAAAGGTACGGATGTTAGTACAAACAATACTTCATCAGGGGACTCACTGCCATGTTAATATGCTGGAGCCTTTCTGTAATCAGTGGTTAAATCAAAAACTGACTGTGTCCCATAAACATGGTTTTACCCCTGACTACAGAAAGGCTCCAGCATGTTAGCATGGCAGTGTGTCCTCTGATGAAGTATTGATTGTACTAACATGCGTGTCTTTAAAATTTGTTTGGCTTTTACATTTTTATTTAAATTGTTTGCTTAATACAATTTTTGTATTAGCTGCTGATAACTCTTTTCAATTTTGACTCATTTTACTTAAATTCTGGTATTAAATTTTGTTTAATTCAATTTTCATATTTATATCAGAATACTTATTACACATACTTATATTTTCCTCGACTTTTTTAGTTTGAATTTTTTGCTTAAAGGTTAATTGTCATAACATGCACAACTTAACATTTTGACCCAACCTTTTTGGAATCATTTCTTGGAACAGTGGAACTGTTGTGTTGGAACTATTGTGTATTCGCAAATAAATCTTTTAAGTAATTCAAATAACTAAACTCGCTAAACCAATATTGCCTAAACTCGCTAAACCAATGCGGTTGTTCTTCTTTGGTACACTCAACAGTTATTTTCTTCAGATTTTTTTGTGAACATGTTTTGGCGCTCTGTTTTCTGCACATGTTTTCATTTCTTTTCTTTTTTTAGTTTTAGAACTAAAGAAATCACTTTCATAGTTTAAATCGTAATTAATGTAAGACTTTAACATTCTTAAGTTCATTAAAATTTTCCGAAGTTTCAAAATCGCTTTCAAATTTCAGCCCAACCAGATTAGTTGTTAAAGAAAAAATTGGTTCAGATGTTATTTCATAAGAAAACGAATGCTAATTATAGTGATCAAATAACAATTACTCTCTCTTAATTTATATTTTATTGCTGTTAGTTGAATTAGAATAATCCTCTAAACTATGCTCCCAAAATGCGTATTCTTACTGTATATTTTTTCTCAAATCCAATAAAAATTATTAATTAACAGTAATTAATAGAAAAGTTAATATTTAATTATTATATTGGGAATTAAGTTCGACCATTACTTATACAATACTTTCAAAATACATATTCTAAACACAAACTTGTTTCTCGAGTCTGATTAAAATTATTCATCAATAACAATTAAACAAATAAAATAAAATAATTAATTAAAATAAATAAATGGCTACCACAGTCAATACTTCTTTGGTGTTAGTTAACTTGGTCTTAATACCTTCTAAACTGCATTTCATAACATTTTCTAAAAATTAACTTTTTTTTTCAAATCTAACTATAAATAAAAAATGTTTAAGATAAAAGTTAATAATAAAAAGCTAATAATAATCAACATAAAATATTGTTATATGACTATTGCTGTTTTTATTTTCTAGCTATAAATAGACATGGCTTAAACTATATTTTCCACAAGCATATGCAAGCATATAAGTTTCTCAAGTCTAATAATAAATTAACAGCTGATATTAATTAAGACAGAAGTGAATAAGTAACTCTAATAAAAACATTTCAATAATCATCATTGTTTACATTTCCATGGTGTTAATTAAGTTGGACATGCCTCAAAACCAAATTATAAATATTTGTCTGCATACAAAAGGCATATTTTTAATAATTAATATAAATAAAAATAATTAGATGACTATCTCTGCTTATATTTCTTCGGTATTAATTAAGTAAAACCACACTTCCAAAAGGCACAATTTTAATATTTATTTCTAAAATCTACTAACTTCAACACTTTTTTTCCTCAGGGAAGCACTTAACAAGCGAGAACTGGTAATGTCTTTTCTACCCCCAAACCAAAGCAGCCCCGCTACAATTATTACTTTCAATTTTGATTGTTTTCGAAGTTCCGTTGATAGTTTTTGAAAATTCTTGTATGCCCCTTCCATTTTCCCCCAGCCTTTTGCGTTCGCTTGCAAATGAGAGTGCATCGCTAATGGATGTCCATTCAAACGATATAAATGTAAAACAACGAAAATGGACTGTCAGTGGCAGACGATTTTGTGTTTGATTGATTCTTCTCCGTAGCAACGAATCTTAAGTTTAATTCTTTTAGTCTGAATATTTATAATAATTAAAAGATTCAGTCATTAAAGGAATCCTTTTTTATCTCAGATAATGATAGTTGATGAAGTGCGTTACTTTAAAAATGAGAAAACGTTAAGAGAATTTCGCGCTTTAGAACTTTTCAATCATTCTTTTTTTTTTATTATTTATTTTAAGTATTAATCAGAGAGGCATTGCGGGAGCAATCATTGTTTTTAAATAATTATTTATGCTTTTAGTTTTATAAGTTGTTTAAAAAATTAAGCAATATGAATTTTTTTTTTTTTTTTTTGCTTTAAATTTTTATCTTATTTTTCTCATAAATTCCGAAAAAGCTGTTTGGGTTTAAAACAATGAAACGATTTAAACTGATATCATTCTTTTTTCATTATTTTACCAATAAACTGAAATAAAAACTTATTTACAAAAATATCTTATAAAAATGATTAAATAGTAAGTCAATTTTAATGCAATGGTTCTTCCAGTTTTATTTTTTATTGTATTGAATTTCGTTCATTGTTTAAAAAAATAAGATATATTAAGCAACATAAAACTATTTACTTTTCTTCGAATTCGTGCTGTTTTTTTAAATAGGAATTCTATGAAAGCCATTTAGTTTTAAAACAGTGATTGAATTTAATTTTTTTATTTATTTATTTTCGTTATTAATCACAAATAAAATAATTTTTTTTGTCCAATTTTTTTCATGTTTTTCATTGCATTTCTTTAAAATTCAAGCTTTTTAAAATATTTATTTTTATGCTGACTTTATTTTAGAAAAAAGTTTCGTACAAATTATTTATTGTTAAAATTGTAACGTGATTTTCAATTTAGTATGTATTAAATAAATATCACTAATCACCTTAATCTAAATATTTAGTGTCCGCTGTTGTAATTGAGCTAAAGAAAGTTGATAATGTTTTAATCAAATCTCTATTACTCTTAAAAATGTCAGCTTTATACGCTTAAATAACTTTAATACACTTTATAAGTGGACGCAAAAAAATTCTGTAATATTTATTGTATATAACATTATTTTATTATGTACAGTGTACAAAATAACAAACAGGACATCCTGAATAACTGTTCATCTAATAATGGGATCTTCACATTCTAAAATTTAATCTTAATGGTTTTAGGGTCAGAAGTCCGTATCAGTAAAAAAATATTCTTATTAACAGAAAGTACGTTTTTTAGTCTGATTTTGTAGCTTAAAATACCGTTTGCATTAGTTAATTAGAATATTTTAGGTCACCCTCTTGAACTATTAAGATTGGGTCATAGAATGTGAAGACCCAATCATTTTATCAAAGGTTATTCAAAATAGTTTTTTCGCACTGTACAAAAACATACATGTTTGCATAAGTTTATTTCTAATTTTTTTTTTCTTTTTTCTACAGAAATGTATCAAAGCCATTTGCTGTCTGCCATATAAATTTGGCTGTTTCTAACTGTAAGTTGCTATTTTTATATTTCAAGATAATTCGAATGAAAAAATATGTAAAGTAATAACTGCTGCCATATTTCAATTTTTATATTATCTATGAAGTACATAAATGAACTTATAAATGTTTTTCATTTAAGAATGTCAACTACATACTACTACCGATTTTTACTAATCCTTAAAAAGGATTTTTTTATTATTTGTTATTACATATAGAAGTAATGAAGAATATTTTAAGGATTTTAGAAATTACATATATCACTTGTTATATTTATACGATAATTATCCAAGAAGTAAAAATAATTCAAAATAAAAAAATTAAAAAATATCTCGGAAAGTTAGTAAATAATCGTTTACTTTTTCCCAATAAAGCAATTATTCTCCAAATAAATAAGATGAGAGCGGAAGATCAACTTTGGCAAAAGAATTTCATAAGTTTCCATGTTCAAATTGTTACATAAAATTCAGTTTGTCAATTATTAATTCGTGTATAAATAGTATTTCATATCATTTGCAATAAAATAATCTAACTAATAAATGAATTCACTAAATCTCCTTTTGTAATTTTGTTGAAACTAAATTTCATTTTGATTACGCGAGCAACTTATTTAGTTACTTAGTCCAAATGTTGTAGTAAATGTTGGAACATCATAGAAATTAAATTTTTGTGCTTTTTATTTTTTATTTAGTTATTTTTTTAATTTTCTTTTTACTTCCCGAATGCTTTAGTTGAGTCTGAGTCGGACATTCGAAACGTTAAATTCAGCTTACGACTTAAATAAGGAAAAGCTAGTGAATGTTAAACATGAATTCAAATTAGAAGTAAAAATAAAGCAAAAGACGAATCGAAATTAAAAATATTATCAAATTGTAATAAATAATTGAGAAGCGAGAAAAAGTGTAATGAGCAAAACCAAAATACGTATTAGAGGCTATCGATTTCTGCGACTGCTCGAAATATTTTGGAGCAGGTTGAACTATAATATCGTTCAAATTAGGATTATTTGGATCGAACCCAATACCTCTGTATTCGTAACTTGATGCTTTAACCGCAATAGGAGTGATTTTGATCCACCGAATTACAGAATATCCTGTATATATTACAGATTAATTTTGAATTAAGATTGTAAATTTGTCGTAGCACAAATGATTTTTGAAAACTACAAATGTTTATTTTCTTAAATCCGCAAGTTTTTTTAAAATATTTTTTTTTCAATTTTACCTTACATTTTGACATTAATAAGTACTTTTCTGAAGCTTCTGAATTAAGAATATATAAATAATATGACATTTTGAAGTTTGATTGGTTGTTAGTAGGATTATATATGTGTAGCAGCATTAATATCCACCATGACTTTTACAAATTATTAATGTTTGTTTTTTTTTCTCAAATCCGCCATTCTTTTAATGTTACGATTATTACAACTTTATTTGTTTACGAAAGGTTTTCTTTTTCTTTGTTTCAAGTTTTTCTTTACTTTCTTATAGCAATAAATACTTTTCTGAAACTTGCATAACTGAATTAATACATAACTGATAAAACATTTAGGAGGTTAGATCATTAAAAAAAGGTCAAAAAATAGTTTTGAGATAATCAAAATCCTGCCTAATAAGTTCGTCTTTTAATCCCTTGGACGATAAATTAATAAGGATATACCCTCAAGTTCAATAAGAATACAAACATAATCCTTAAGGTACCACCCTCAAGCTCAATAAGAATACAAAAGAATGGAAGTTTTGTTATCTACCTTTTAAACTAGAAGATCTTTGTCAACCAGATGAATTTTTATTGCGCAGTGCAATACTAAGTGTTGCACTGCACAATAAAGCTTTCATATTCTTTGTGCTAAAAAGCAGGCAAACGAATATCTGATGAACGAATTACTTACGATAATATTTTAACAATTCTGTTCATTTGTATAAAACTATTAATATTGCATTTTTTTTCAAACAATATTTCTAATTCTTTATATGATTTTAATTTTATTATTTGCACCATGTATATGTCTTTCAGTGTATATATTTTTCTGTATTTGTGTTCCTTTGAAATTTTAAAAATGTCTCGCAAATGTTGGACTTTTTTTTCTCGCCACAAGTTAGCAACCCCGACTATCATCAATACGATATATTATCATTTATATCAATATCGCATAATTAGTACAAAAAAGTAATCCGAAATCTTAACTAAAAAAACTGAATGAACCTTTCCTTATTTACCAACTACATTCAGCATTAGCTTTGATGAACCTACTAGTTTACCCAGTTGACGTTAGCGAATGAATTTGCTTTTCTTTTTACTTCATCCGAATGAGTGGGGCCACAATTTCTTCTACGGGGCTCTCCTTAACTTTTTCTACAAACAGGGGTGGAGATTGTGTGTAACTGGTCACGTGGGAAAGGGCACTCACGTGACCAGAGCAGCTGATGAACGCAGGGCGCTGAAAAAGCACTAATCTGATAAGTCCATTGTCGGTTACTTTTGGTCACTGCTGAAAAGAACATTTAACTCTTAGTTCCATGTATGTGGGTGGTAGTGAGTGGTGGCTGTACAAACACAGCTCATTCTTCTTCCTTTTTTTTTGTTCGCAGAAACTCTTGTTTTCCAGTATATTCCTTCATTCATTCCTAAACGAAAGTTCCCCATTTCAGAATTGATGCTTTCTCCTTTTTTGTTTCGTTCATGGCCTATTATTATTGTGTCAACCTTTTCAAAGGTAGTGAAAGCAAGTCGCTCAATTTCGTATCAGAAAAGGTTATTCAGACTGAAGTTGCTCGTTTATAATAGTATGAGCATTTTACGAACGTCTTAGGCGTAGTTACACTAGTTTTCTAAATGGTTTTTAAAAATAATTGGTGTTTTTTTTTAAATAATTTTTCTTTCAAAAATAATAACTCTAATAATTTTTTGGCTAGGAAAAATTGCTAGTTTTTTTCCCGCCTGTACGTAATATTACTTTCCGCTTGCATTAATTGCGTATGCACTTCAGAAGAGTTTTTGGCTTAGTTACACAAGTTTTTATTACATTTTTAAAAAAACGATTGATGTTTTTTTAATGCATCATATTTTTCTCACACTCATAAATTTACCTTACTGTATGGTAATGACACTTCTGATAAAAAGAACTGGAATAATTGTTAATGAAACTAAAATATACGGCATTTAAACTATTCAATTGACAATTTTACCGTTTATAAAATTCTAGTTTTCAAAATTTATAGTTCGATTATTAAACATTTAATAAAAAATACAAACCTGAACTAAGCATTACCTGAATAAATTATTTTAATTCCATGATCTACGGTATCAGGATAAAATTGCTGCATTTACCGAACTTTATCACACATTATAAAGCTATATTTCATTGTTAATTTAATCAAAATCATTACTAAAGCTCTTCGCTAAAATTTTCCAAGCACCTTTGTTTCCTATAGATCCAGAAACACGGTAAATTTTACCATGTTCTGGTAGTTTTAACTAAATTTTTTTCTTAGTATAATGCACTTCATAAACGTATATTGCATAGCTGAGCATGCTTTTCTTATAGTTTTAAAAGTATTTAGCAGTTTAAAAGACTAAAATGTTATTCTAAAAATAATATCAATAAAATTATTTTTCTTGCTTGGAAAGGTTATATTGCTCGAGTTGTTAGTATATTTTCAAAAGACTCTAAAATGATCAGTTGGATCTATTATGTCAAATAAATTTTGACAGTTAGCCTGATCTAAAATTTCTTTGAAGAAAAAAAATGCATTACTTAGCATTTGAAATCAATGATAGTGTTTAAAATATTATTATGGAATTATAGATCTAAATTTAGAGCAGAAAATAATAGAAACTTTTCAACACAAGTGGTAATTTTTTTCCAATATAACATATTAAAATTTTATACGATTAATTTTTAAAATAAAACAATTACTCAACTATACGTGTAACACTGTCTCAATTAATCAACACTGTCTCAATAAATCAACACTGTCTCAATTAATCAACATTGTCTCTCTTAAAATTATTCTGCTACACTGCCTCAATAAAGTTCAGCTTCATAATATATTAGCGATGCCTAAATGGAAGATTCATTATATAAAAAAATGTAAGACAACATGGAACATCATTGTTCGATTTAGGCTTAAAATAAATTAGTAGGGTGTTATTAAACTACAAATGTTAAGACACCTCAGCATTCTTTCGAATTGCCATCTAAATTTCATTAACAAATTAGATGTATTAAATTAAGATAAACTTCATATCCCGGAATAAAACTGAGAAAAGTATACACAATTATGTTCGAATCAACCCAACAAGTAATGAAAAAATGCATTGTCTTCGTAAATCTTAATTAATAAGAATGATTGAATTAACAATTGTAATTTAAATTGAAGCTAATCTTAACACAAAGTATCTGAGTTCACAATGAAAAGACGACTAATTAAATACCTATGGGTGGGAGAATTATATTCACCATTTATATTTATTTACTATCATTTATTCAGATTTGTTGCTAAATGGCGAACTAGGAAATTCGTTTTTTTTCTTTTTTTAACACCAAGAATTTTAAGATGCTTTTGCTAAATGAATTGCTAGAAATTGTTACATTCAGTTTATGCTAATGTTGTAAATCAGTTAATTTAATTAGCTTATTAAAGAACATGACATCTTACAAGGCAGGGAATAAAATCATGTCTCTTGATGTAGGCTTAAGAATCGTTCGAAAAAAAGTGCGCGAAATATTCCAGAAGATCTAGAATTGTGTGAAGACAAAAGAAAATGCGGAGACAATTAGTTCTTGTCAAACTACCTCCTCTAGAGAAATCTTCTCATTCTTTATTCTATGGTTACAAAAAATAACAATAAATAAATAACTTAAGTTCTCTACTCAAAAGACAGAGTGTCAACCGTAAATAGTTTTTCTCGGAAAGAAATGCCAACTGTAGATGCGTTTTGCAGTTGATGAGGAAATGATAGCGGAAAAAAAACATTTTCACTCGTCGAAGAATCAGCACATTTTTAA